GTGTGTGTGTGTGTGTGTGTGTGTGTGTGTGTTTGTTTCTCTCTTTTCTTGCAGTGAACTCTGAAGCTGTATCTCACTTCGTTTCCATCTGCCCGATCTTAATACAATCTCCAGAATTCCCACTGTTCCTTTTTTTTGTGTGTGTCGGTCTGGGGATCTCTCAAAAACCTGAAAAGAGTTGAACAGTTCCAAGTTCCAAGCAAAATCAAGGTCCCACAGTCCCAGGATGACCTTTAAACGAATCAGCCGAGGGAAGCTTTATTGGACTGCATACACAGCTGCAGGATTGTGTCTGTCAGGAACAAGGACTACACAGAGGTGGAGGAAAGACAGATTTGGACGAGTTCTTCGTTACGTATCTTAGGATAATTGGGAGGGGTGTTTAGTGAGGTTCTGGTTTGTTATTCGAAACTTATCTGGCAAGTTTTTGGGTTATCAACTTATCGTCGAGGTTGAAGCAGCACTTCGCACAGGGGTGACCAGAGGCAGCCTCAGAATTTCTCTTTTGTTCGTTCCTGTCTATTTGGGATGGGACCGATGGGTATTGTACCTCCCTGGTATCCGGACAGTGCGTGCATCTAACTGTTACTAATAGACCGACCAGGAGTACAAATCCCATTGTAAATCATTGGATACGTTATGGTATCAGGACTGCGCAGCTCCAGGGTTGTTTATGAGGGTTGGGACCAGATTGGGACCAAATATGGACCATGTTATAAGCAGATTGGGACCAGATAGAGACGACATTGGCACCAAATTGGAACCAGATTGGGAACAGATGAGGAACAGATTGGGGCGAGATTGGGATGGGATGGGGAATAGATTTGGACCAGATCTGGGGCTGGATTGGGACCAGAAAAGAATTGGCAGCAGATTAGGACCAGAATAGGACCAGATTGGGAAAAGATTGGGGCGAGATTGGGATGGGATTGGGGCGAGGTTAGGACCAGATTGCATGGAACCTAAAGCAAAGAACTTCAGGAATTCACACCAAAATTAACTTACTACAATATACAACCAGGCTAGGCTATAGGCTGAGACGCCGCTCTACAAACCCAGATCCAATAATAGCAGAACGTTGGAAAAGACACCTAGAAGTAGAACCAGAAACATTCCACTCAATACCCTGGGATAAAATAGCGTCTACCCACCCACCCAAATTTAGAAGCTTACAATGGCTAATCCTTTACATAGCAGTCCCACTAAATCAATGGCTAAATGTGAGAAGGAAAAGGAAGATAGCAGTCCACTGAAAGAACTGTGTGCTAATTGCAACAACGGTCAAATAGAGAACTTGTACCACTGCTTTCTCCTATACCACTGCTTTCTCCTGTGTCCTAGAATAAAACCACTATGGCAAAAGACAGCAAGTATATGGAATACACTAACAGACACAACCCTCCCAAATAACAACACATTGCTACTACTAGGATTTAATAGCCCAGGACACTGGAGCCCACTAGAATCCAACCTCTGCAGAATACTTAGAAAAGCCACACTATGGGCGATATGGAGGAAAAGATGTCAGGAAACTATAGAAAGGCAAAAAATGCACACCCAAGAGGCCTGGGGTTTAATCCAACAACAAGTAGAAACCGAATACTGGGTCCTATGGCGCAAGGTAAGAAGAAAGATGAGAGAGGACGAAGGCAAAGCCAAGGAACATCAACACAACTCCGAAACAAATTTTCTAGCCAAAGGTAAAATCGCACTCATCCAAGGCCAAACATAGTATTCCGATTATGGGAGGAAACACCTCCAAATCAACACTCACAAGACCACTCAACCAATAGTATCCCTGAATATCTAGAAGTCAACATGCACTCAGAATAGACCATTAAAGAGCCCTTAGCAGACAGTACTCCAACATACTCGCCAGTCTAGCTTTCCAGCCTGGGCGCACGGGCCACCCCAGGTCGCCCGGAAGGGCGCTCGGGGCGCCCGGCCGTGCGACCCCCCCGGCCAGCCCCCGGGGCCCCACAGCGCTGCCCCCCAAATCGCTTCGGAAAAAAAAATTTGCGCTGCGGGCTGGAGGCCCAGAGGGAAAAAAATTTTTTGGCGGCCGCCGCAATATTTTTTGCGATCCGGTAGGCCTCGTTTCGTAGTTTTTTTTTTTTCGGGACCTGGGCCGTCGATCTGTGTTGATCGATGGCGCAGAAGTCCCAAGATTTTGAATTTGAGTCCTGGGGACTTACCGCGCGGCCCTGCGCCCTCCGCCCTACCCCCCCGCACCAGCTTGTTGTTTCCCCACCGTTGTTGCGTCGTCGTCCGTGCCATCGTTATCTTCGCGCTGCCGAGCCATCGTCGTCGCTGTCCAGCCGCGCCATCCTCCTTGCCCCTGACGAAGACTGCCTGTGCCGCCATCGCCAACGCAGGTAAGTTTTCTTCTTCTTCTTCTTCTTCTTCTTCTTCTTCTTCTTCTTCTTCTTCTTCTTCTTCTTCTTCTTTTTCTTCTTCATCTCTACTAGGTCTTCTTCTTTTTCTTCTTCATCTCTACTATGTCTTTGTTTGTTCTTCTTCATTTTGTCTCATTCTTTTTCCTCTCTTTCTGCTCCTCCATTTCGTCGTGTTCTTTTCCTTCTTCATCGTCTCTTCGTCTTCTTTTCTTTTTTTCTTTGTCGTTTCTTCTTCTATTTGTTCTTATTCTTCATCAGTTCTTTTTTTTCTTCTTCTCTTTGTTGTTGCCGCCTCTTCTTCTTCTTCTTCTTCTTCTTCTTCTTCTTCTTCTTCTTCTTCTTCTTCTTCTTCTTCTTCTTCTTCTGCTCTCCACTTCTTCCTCCCTGTTCCTTCCTCCGCCATAGCGCTTCATCAACAAATCGTCATCTTTTTTCGTGGGGGGGGGGAGGGGGATGCTTGACTATGCTTCTGCTCCGTCTGCCATAGCCTCCCTCCTCCTCCATCAGTCTTCCTTCCCTCTCCTCCTCCCTCGTTAGACTCCCTCCCTCCATCAGTCTCCCTTCCCCCTCCTCCTCCCCCCGTAGGCTCGCTCCATAGGCTCCCCTCCCTCCTTCTTCACTTTTTCTTCATCTTCTTCTTCCTTTCTCCGTGTCTTCTTCTTCTTCTTCCCTTCTTCTTCGTCATCATCTTCTTCCTCCTTTTCTTACTCTCTACAGTCCTTCTGGGACGCCATACTCCTCTTTTTCTTCTTCTGTTTTCCTTCTTCTTCGTTAGGGTTCTGCCCCTACCTCCTCCTACCTCCGGTAGAGTTCTGCTCCTACCTCCTCCTGCCTTCGGTAGAGTCCTGCTCCTACCTCCTCGTACCTCCTGCCATAGTCCGCCCTCCTCCCTCCTTCCTCCCGCCAAAGTCCTCCCTCCTCTCTCCCGCCATAGCCCCCCCCCCCCCCCCCCCCACACACAGAAATCAATATGCCTGAAGAAAAAAAAATGAGGCCGGATTTGGGCAGTATTCGGCAAGCGCAGCAAACCCCCGTAAACCAAAAAAAAAATTAAAAAATTCGGTGAATTTTTTTCATGCCCGGGGTACCCCGGGCGAGGCGCCCGGGGCGCCTGGCCAAGCGCCCCGGGAAAGCTAGTCGCCAGTAGATTACAACAACACAAGAAACTATATCTGATAGGAAGACACACACTATATTTAGGACATAAGACTCAAGAATAGCACATGTCCAGGGCAACCAAGACCTAGGTTAGAAACTAGAACAACCTCAAATAGCTCCGATATTAAAAACGATGGACAACAGACAAGAGGAGATCCAACAATTAAGTAGACAAGCAGAACAGCAAGCAGATTCTTATGGGAAGAGAGAGGAAGGCCGGACAGACCCTAGCGCTACACCAAGGGTATCGCAACAGGAAGACCAAGGGGAAAGTTCTTAGAACCCGAGCAAAAGACCCGAACAACAGTTCTAGCAACCAAGGAAAATTCGACAGCTGAGAACCTGAGAGGAACAGGTTGGACAGGGTCCAAGTAGAAAAACGGACAGAGGCTCAATAGAACAGGCTAACTTAGTCAGGGGTGAAGGGTGGTACATCCCTCCTCCGGGAGGTAATCATTGCCGTCCTTTGGGCCTCCACACCGTAAGGGGGAGGAGCGTGAGTGAGTTTTCCTTGTACTCTCTTATGACTTGCCGGTGGAATACGAACCGGATTGATGCTCCCCAGAATGGAAAAGGAGCCAGAACCCTAAGGTTCTGTTTTTATGTTAAAAAAAAAAAAAGAAAAAAAAAAAAGGTTAGGACCAGATCTGCGGTTAGGACCAGAAAAAAATGGCTCCAGATTGGGACCAGATTGGGCAAGGATTGGGACGAGAATTGAACGGGATTGGGGTTAGGTTAGGACCAGATCTGGGGTTAGATTGTGACCAGATCCGAATCAGATTGGAACCAGATCGGGACGAGATTGGGACCAGATGCTTCTCCATACTGCTGGAAAGGGTGTACCAGGCTGATGACTCACGCTATAGACTGGAGTTGTGGCCGGAGCTTCCCAGAAGGCTGTGATAATTCTCGAAAACTGAAGGTCACTGTTGGAAACGAAGAGGGAAAAAAAAGTGATAGTGACATTGTATCTGAATTTCGTGATGGTCAGTGGTAGGTGCAAGTCGGATGCACCACACTGATGACAGCAGGTCACTTTTCTGCTTTCCTGAAAATGAAGGACGCGAGTCCCTTCCTCCCACTTCACTGAAGCCAAGACCTTACGTGAGTGCCCTCCTCCCACTTAACTGAAGCCAAGACCTTTGTCAGCATTCCTGACCCAGGGAGGTTGCAAGAGGCTCTTGCTGCCAAGGTAAATGGGAAAACAAATTTTAAAGGTTTTTCAAAAAAGGGAAAGAAAAGAATGAAAACCTTATTTGTACTCAAAACTAACTGATCGGCATCCCTTAAAATTGGAATGATGCAGAGAAAGAAGACTAACATGAGAGAAAAAAAAAAAACAGAACTGAGCTGTCCAATGTATTCAATGTTACCACTTGTATGACAGTCAACACAACTCTCCAGGCTCTTCAGCCCACTGCCTGAAACTAGAGTCCAAGAAGGTAGAACACGGACGAGGAGGAGGAGGAGAAGGAGGAGGAAATAAAGGTAGATGAGGAGGAGGAGGAGGAGGAGGAGGAGGAAATAAAGGTAGATGAGGAGGAGGAGGAGGAGGAAGACGAGTAGGAAAACGAGGACATCCAGGGCATAGTTATGGAGAATGCCTGGTGCTGTCATGAGGTAAGTCCAATCTGCTCTCCTCAAATGTCATCCTCTGGCCATCTGCCTTGGCTACTGGTTCTCGTCCACGAATCCTGTCTCTGCCCCTTAGTCTCTCGGTATCTCTACCTCTCCGTCTCTCCACCTCCACGTCTCTTTCTCTGCGACTCTCCGTCTCTCCATGTCTGTCTCTGTATCTGTCCCTCTTCACCTCCCCACTGTGACTACCGGCCGTAGAGGTCAAGCAATGTCCAGCATGCTCTTTCCTGATGCTACCTGCATTCTTCAGTTTGACAATGTTTGAATGCCGTCAACGGCTTGAAGTACTGCTGGCTGGTTCAAATCGGTAGTCTAGACCCTGGTCACAGCCTAGGCCATAGATCTTCTCGAAATGTTAGTCCGGTCCATTGGTTCTAACGGTGCGGATGTCAATGCGTTTGTTAGTCGGTGACAAGTCTTTGAGGGTGTGTAGATCTGCCGATGCATGTGACAGAGTCAAAGGCTTTACGTGTGTCCTACTCCCAGGCCGTTGTGGCCCTTCAATACAACCCCCTGCCTCTGCCTCTGGGAAACTCAGGGTTAAAACTGTGGACCCATTGGTTCTAACGGCCCGGATGTCAATGCGTTTGTTAGTCGGTGATAAGTCTTTGAGGGTGTGTAGATCTGCCGATGCATGTGACAAAGTCAAAGGCTTTACATGTGTCCTACTCCCAGGCCGTTTTGGCCCTTAAATACAACCCCCTGCCTCTGCCTCTGGGAAACTCAGGGTTAAAACTGTGAACCAGGTTAAGTTTCTGAAGGTCGCCCAGCCAGGCATAAATAAGATCGGGAGCTCACTTGTATCAACGAAAGAGTGAAAATTCACAGAAAACGCAAAAGGGAAAACTCAGTGGTTAGAGCACCTGTTGGAAATGCACATTGTGGTATGAGGTTGTGGTTCAAAACTCTGTTGCCTTGCGCATGTACACCGGCAGCGCTTTCACCGCGCACAAGCCATTCCCTCCCCCCCCCCCCCCCCCCCCCCCCCAACACACACTTTGGGACGATGCATGGTAATATTTATGGACACTTCTTGCACACCGCCCAAGGGGTCTAGGTCGATGGTTGTAGTATGCTGGATAGGGCCATAGGGAGGGCTGTTTGAGTGCTTAGTCTTAGGGGGTCTATATCTTGGCTCCACCTTGAGCCGGGGGGGGTGGAGAAGGGATATGTTAGGGTAGATTAAGGGGATGGTTTACTGCTTAGACTGCCGATAACCAAAAAAGCTGCTGAAACTGACGAAACCATCAATACCTTCGCATGGCCACTTGGACCCTCCAATCTGTGAGTCCCGTCAGTATGTACTAGTCCGTGGGGGTGCCATGGTCAAGCCTGGGTACAGCCAGTATGTTTTGCTATGGCACGCGTACGAGAGTTCACACAGAGCGAACTTAGACTACGGTAGGGCCCATCTCGACGGGATTAATCCTACGCACACACTGGGTGTTAGTATGGGGCAGCTACTGGGTACTTCTTATCCCACAGGTATCTCACGATCCCCGCGGGTGGTGCTTCATCCAGGCTGGGGTCCGTGCAAATTCCAATTGGGGGAATTAGTCGGGACTGTGGATTCTTGGGGAGCCTTGGGTAGGAAGGCATCATGCTTAGGATAGGGGAGGGTGGGATATCCAATCTTAGTGGAATGGCGGTTCGCTGCCCACAGAGTCTGCGGGAAGAGGCACCGATGGGGGATGACTGCGTAATAGTGCATATGCATGGACCCCGCCTGTGCCAGGGTCGTCCTTAACGTCAGAGTTATGGGAGGGTAGTGTCTGCACGAAGACGTTCGGGTTAGTTCAGTAAGCGTTGGCGGAGATCACGACTTGCGATCTGACCATCAGCGTAGGTCATGGTACCATGTTGCCATCTTGAGGTGACTCCCCCTGGGTCCTCGCAATCCATCTGACCACCCAGTGGATGAGTACTATGGGCACCTCCTGAGGCCTGGCCACCAGCCTTTACTACACCCTGGGCCTTTGAAAAAAAAGAAAAAAGGAAAAAAAAAGAAAAGAAAAGAAAAGAAAAGAAAGTCAGCCTCAACCCTAAAGTTTGTTTTTTGTCCCTTTTCCACGGTTTTTTTTTTTTTTTTTTGCATTTCTTTATGAAACGCCCAGGTTGTTGTAGAGGCAAGGTATCAGGCGCGGGAATACTCTCCGGGTTTCAGTCACTGGAAGTTCAGAATGACCGACTTGGCCCTCTCGACCTTCCTAGACGGAGTCCTCTACGGGCTTTGAGCCCGAAGTCCCATCGCAAGTCGTGTCCCTTCCGCACCATACAGCACGCCTAGGCCGTTCTGGGCTGTGGCAACCTGTTTGGCTCTCAGGTCCAGACATAATGCCAGTGGATCTCGCAGGGACTGTGGTGGTTTAAGGGAATGGCACCCAGGACTGGGCCCACAGAAGGTGCATTGCTGTGTGAGGGTACGTCTTCTGTTACCTGAGTCCATCTTTTGTCTTTTTTTAATCTGATGTTGCGATAAGGGGGTCATCAGAATAGGAAAGCTTAACTGATGTTGGTTTTCCTATGGTCACTTTATTCCTTCGAAATGAGTCGGGGTGTGTGGGGGAGCGGCGGTGTGGAGGCAATCATTACGGCTGTCCCCAAGGGGGACGGGTGCGACAACCATGACCGTTTTCTTAGGAGCACTTTCTTTCTTTGAAAAGGAAAGGGTGGGTGCACAACCCTCGATGTGGGGTTCAAAGGGGCGGAGGGGGGCGGGGCCGCCAACCCTGATGTTTCGTTTGCGCACCCGTAAGGTGCATCAACTTTCAAACTGTGATGATGTTATCTCAAAAGTTATAAATGGATGCTATGTTAGGTGTGAGTAACATCTACGATCTACCGTTGGGCAGCTGACGAGAACTTCCTTTTTGCAGGCATCTCTGCTTCTGGGTGCACTCCCTTCAGAGCTTGTGGGTGAGAAGCTGCCTGAGGAAAGGCTTTTTGACTGCGTAAACGTAATTCTCTCCTACCAGGTATGTAGTATGTACCATGTATCTGGGGAAAAAAACTTCAGTTCGGTTCTTCTATTTCGTGTTGCAGTATCCAGTACTTGCCAAAGGTCGCCTCATCCCCAATTGTTATCAATCATTTCTGCTACTCCATCCACATTGCACTGGAATCGTGTGCAGGTTGCAGGTTCAAATCCCGATGCCCCACCAAGTAACCGCCCGCTGCATGATTTAAGAATACCTTGGCCTTTGGCCGCCTGTTGCTCAGCCCAGTAATTCAAAGGGTTCTTCATTCTGTGCAACGCAATGTTGGCCAGCAAAGGTGATATAACATGAGGCTCACCAGAGCTATGTATAGTGATCCCAGGGCCTGTGTGAAAGGGCGCTCACTCGACAGATCGAAGACATGCCAGGGATAACAGGCTAATAATGACTCCCAAGAGATATTGACGAAGTCGTTTGGCACCTCTCTTGGGGGAGTGTTTGGTGAATCAAAAATGATGTTGCCTAAACAAATGAAAAGGATATGCAAAAGTAAAGTAGTTTGGACCTAAGCTGTTATGAACTTGGTTGTCTGACAAACTTTATCGCCACTCACACAGACAATCTCACACATGCCCATACATGCATAAGAGAAGGGGAGAGAGGAGACAGAGCCCAAACTGCACACAGGTGAAAATAAGCAGCGGAAGACAAACATGCACAGATGGGGAGAAGACACACAGTGTTTCTCACTCTCTGACACAACTCCCAACAACCAATCACAAGAAAGAACCTGCGAAGATCACAATTGAAATTCACACTGATGATGAACCACTCAACCAAATTATCGTAACAGAGTTTGTTCCAGTATCTCGCCACCCTCAGAACTCACACCCCACTCTCTATCCTAACCCGGTCAGTAGCGCCACATCAGAACAGCCTCCGAGAGGCCAGCGCCAACCACCCTGATGGAGAAGTTCAACAGGTCCTGCGATGAAGTCTTCAGTGTCGGTGGACAACTCTGACGAAGGAACAGGCAGCTATGGCTGCCACCACCCACGAGTACACAGTGTAGAGCCTCAGTGTAGCCCGGCCGGACGCAGATACCCCAAGGGTAGATGCGCTGAGGATGCCCCAGCTATGGCAGACTCAGACTGGGCCGGCTATGGTTGCTGTCAACGGCGAGGTCTCAGGATGCCGCCTGCAGAGAGTCACCGCACCAACTTGCTTGGCTTCTCCAACGCTGCTTCGCGAGAAATGGACTGCCAAAAGTCCTGAACCGATGGGCCTAACCTATCTATAGACTACACTAGACCTAGACCGCACTGACTGACCGACCGGTACCGTTGCTGGTTCGGCCTCGCGGCCTCTAACAGACCCGGCTATAGGCTATAGGACCGTCTATTAGCATAGGCCACTTAGGGCCTGTCTGTCCTAGGGGTAGCCTGGGCCTGCTATACGCAGTTAGGGTAGCTGTAGGAATTCGGGTTAGTACTGGGCCTATATTTTCCCAGATTTACAGATATGTCCCTCACGAATTTCCTTACAGGCAGGTTTCTCGGTTAGCCCTCAGCCAAACAAAATTACGAATCTAACCTATGGCTGTACAGCCTGTACTATACAGCCTCGCAGTCAGTCTCGGCAGTAGAAATCAGCAAGTCATTGGAAAGCTACCAGAGTGGCCCGGGGCCACTTGCCCGGCCGGGCCAAAAAAAAAAAAAAAAAAGTTTTTTAATTTCATTTTTCTATTTTCAATTTGGTAAAGAATTTCGACGTGACCCTGAGGCAAAAGTTGTTCAGTTTATTTTTACGCATAAGCGGCATAACACTTTTTCTTTTTTTTTTTTTTGCTGGGACCTTCTGTGGTCCTTGCACGACCGGGCCGCCCGAGCAAACAAGGTGACCCTGGCGGCCTGACTCATACCCTAGGTTTAGACCTAGACTACCGCAGTGGCGCGGGACCACTTGCCCGGCGGCAAAAGTTTTTCAGTTGATTTTTCTGCATAAGCAGCATAACATAGTTTTTTTTTTTGGGCCGCCTGGGACAACCGGGTCACCCGTGCAGCCCGATTGGTAGCCTAGGTTTGGACTGAATTAACAAAAATATGGTAAAGTGACAACAATCACATAAAATACATGGCAATCACATCATAAGATGAGATCATGAAAAGCATAATAAGAGTAGAGAATAGAACTAACACCATAGATCAAAAGCATTCAAAGTTGCTTATTTGAAATTATCGACCCACAGCCTGGAGGCTCACAATAGCGTTTTCCTTTGGCCTGGAAGCCTCAAGTGACTTCATAGAGTTGCCATCTATTGCTCCCCTTCATGGGAAATTCCAAACACACAAGCAAACAAGCAAACAAGCCAAAAAGCCAAAATGCCAAAAAGCCAAAAGAACAAAAAAGCCAAAAAGCCCAAAAAGCCAAACAAAAGCAAACAAGCAAACAAGGAAGCACACCCACCGGTCCCCCCGCCAGCCGAAACCCCTCGGCCCGGTGAGCTAGGGCCCGGTTGTACGGAGGGGCGGCGACCMCCGTTCGTCACAGGCGGGTCCAATCCCGCCATTCGCAAGCGGCAACTTTGCCGATTTTTTGTGCTCAGAAGAATTCATCAAAAGGTCTGCAAATTTGAGGGTCCATAGATTAGGTCGTGATCTTTCAGGGAAAAATATCAGGAAAAAAAATAAAATCATTTTGACCGTCAAATATTTGCTGCGCTGATTTTGTGCATTTTCGCAAATTCCATTTTTTCAGGCCCAACCGGATTTCCACTCTGTACTACCGGTACCCCTGAAATTTCTGACGTCAGGGGGACTACCGGTACCCCCGAGATTTCTGACGTCAGGGGGATTAGTCTAAGAACTTAGGGTGTCGCCACACCACTCTGGAAATGTGAAAAACACAAAATGTGGCCGGTGCACCTGGCCATGTTCTACTGGGAAGTTCATTCTCATTTTGCACATTTTGAGAGTGGTGTGGCGATGCCCTTAGTAAAACTACTTAGAAGTTAGAACTTAGTAAAACGACAGAAAGTGACGAAAAACTTTGAAAGCATGTCGAGGGGAGAAGAAAAAGGGAAGGAAGACTGCAAAAAAAAAATAGTAGAAACAAAATGCATACAGAGGGAAGAGAGAAAAGAGAAAGGAAGCGTCTCGAACATGTGAATGAGTTTGCTGCAGCTGCGAGTACTTGGCTATGGTAGTGGGAGTAGCGCTGGCTCGTCAGGGGCGAAGGAAGTCAGTAGAGGCGGGTGATACTTGGTGGTTGGACATCAGGGGGTCTGGCCCTGGCAGAAGCTGGTTTGGGAAAGCGAGCACTCGGCTCAGGAGTGCACTTGTTTTTCGGAGGAGTCGAGTGACTCGCCATAGCTTGGCTATGGTGCACGGTTTTGGGCTCGGCACTATGTTGAACCWTCTAGCAGAGGGTCATCATAAGCTTCTTTCGAGTTGCACATCTTCTTCTTCTGATTTACTTGTGGTGTGTATCACCTTCACACTTGTCAGGTTCATGGCATGTGTTTGCGTTTCGGGCAGCTGCAAAGCAGTCTGCCCTACGTCTCTCATCATCATTATCATCATCAGGAGGGAAGCTTGTGGAAGTATGAGAGACTCAGAGAGAGGAGAGAGAGAGAGTTGGACACAAGTCTACAAGGCAGTTTTCGGGTTGTCGATTCTTGGTGTGATGGTGAAGCATTCAGAACTTCAAACTTTAACGATAACTTGCTGAAGTTGGTGAGGGAGAAGGAGAAGTGACGGAGCTCGCTATACTGGGTATACTAGTATGCTCTCTATTTTACACACACAGAAAAGGGTGTCAATGAGGAGCAAAGGTTGCTCCCGTCATTCGGAGGTGAGATATGGCTATCTAACACAAGATCACAGATCGAAGTCCACAAAGTTATCGATGTAACTTGATCTAGAGAAAGCAGAAAAATGACACCAGAGAACCGCAAAAAGGACTCTAGCATCGCCACTTCTCTCCGTCCATTCTTCCACTTTCGACTAGACCATCATTCCGCCCGCTTATTCCGTGGCAGAACCTGGAGCCATGCCGACAAAAGAGGACAACAGAATCAACAATTAACCTAATATAGCAGAGTAGCCTACCTATCCACTGCCTAGCAATTCAGCTGAGAGTTTCCACATCGCTTCATGCGCTCGCGCAGGGTTCTGGAGAGCCTTCCTGAGGAACTTGTCCTAGTACCCTTTGGCCCAGAACTGCTTCGGCAGAGTCAAAACCTGCGCCGGAAACCAACACTTTATAGTCGTGCTCCAGTAAATCCGTTAAAACGGTCCCGCAATTGAGGCTATTTTCTGTTTACGGCTGGACCAGGACAAACGATCCTGGCCGGCGCAAAAAGTACTTGGCCGGCAGTCCACCGTTCTTGGTCTAGTGGAAAGTTGGAAACTGTCCAGGTAAGGGAAAACAGGCCTGACCACCATCCGGCAACCCCAAAAATCCCAGAACCCCAGGTTGTCGACGGTTTGTTCCGGCGTGAGAGTACTGGGGTAGCTTTTATCAAAAGTACTTCAAATTCCGTCAGCCTATGCAGTCGACCCCCATCACCCTTGCGATGGGCCAAAGTCAGGGAGACATCGTCCATTAGCCCCACACCACCTACCAACCTCCGGTTGCGTACCAAGGTTAAAGGCATGAACTTAGAAAGAAGTTTGGCATACTGACAGGTTCCTGGAGGAAAGCGCAATCCAGGCCAGGTGCGATCATATCGCGTGCATGAGGTGCACATGCAGTGCACGGAGTGAATCACGACCAGGTGCAATCATATCAGCTGCCTGAACTGCATACCTGGAATGAATTACACGCACACAACGAGGTGCATGAGCACTTTTGCGCCGTTCAGCGCTGGAAGGAGGTGCACACACAGTGCAAAGTGCACATGGAACAGTTCTTCCCAGCTCATTGTGTGCAAAAGTGCACCTGAAACAGTTCATGCGCCGCGATGTGTGTGTACTTCGTTACGGGTGTGTGGTTCAGGCAGCTGATATGATTGCACCTGGTTGTGATTCACTCCAGGTGGACTGCATGTGCAGTTCATTCTCTGGCATGAGGCACACAGTGCACAGTGCAGCGGGAACAGTTCATGCACCTCGTTGTGCACAGATGTGGACCTGGAACAGTTCATGCACCTCGTTGTGCACAGATGTGGACCTGGAACAGTTCATGCA